ATCTTTTGTTGTTAAAAAGTACTTTTGAGGTCTCAAAACCAAGAGAGGAACTGTAGGCTGTGTGAATGAAAAGTTGATCATCAGTTTCCACACTTCTGTAGCAGCTCAAGTGTAGCAAGAAAAAAACCTGTAGAAAGAACCCAATGCTGGGTTTTTTCCTTCTGTATGTTCTGCAGGGCCAAACAAGTCCTATAACCTCATATTTTCATTGCTATCATACCACTAGACACTTCTAAATTGCAATGCTAATGCTCTTCCTTGTGACCACTTTCTGTCTTCCCATCCATTTGACAATCTACTTTTTCCACTTCTGAGGTTAGCTCCTTGTTTTTACCCTTTCATTTCATTCTATGCAGAAAAGTCACCAATCTCCTACTGTTTAGAAACTCCCAGTCTCAAAATTTCTACCTTGGCAAAATTCCAGCAATTGCTGGTCAATTCCACCGGAGTGGAGTTAATTTTTTTAAAATGATTTTGTAGTCTATGAATTTTCATCTTTATTTGTTTCACATTAAAGATTCTCTCTTGCACTATGGAGTGAGGAATGGTATTAGATATTCACTGATTTTCATGGCACTTGTTTCTGCTAAACTCATGCTAGAAGCAGGATTCTCTTTGCTATATTTATATTTACTATACTTCAGAACCAGGCAGGACAAGTGTTTGTCCTTTCATTTATTTCCTATTTAAGACTCTTCCAGATATCAATTATATGACTAATTGATTATCCATAGAGGAACTTCATCTTTTCCTGCTTAGCTAATTCCTCTCAAAAGCAATGAAAATTATATTAGGCAACAATCTATTAAGCTAGCCAGCCCCCAGCCAATTTACACTTTTGATGTGTTTCATGTTGTACAGATTTCTAGATTAAGTACAAGCCATGTGTAACAGCAACAGCACTAATTCTCTAGTGGTTTTTTTGGTCATGTCTCATGGCTAAAATCCCGGTAACTTTATAATTCTAGTGGTTTCTTCTAACAATAAATTCTTTACCTGTAAACTTACAAATCTCTAATTTTTCTATTTCATCCCTAATCCAGAAGTGTTCTCCAGAATGCTGCCCATCTTGCAAGGTTCTTGAAAGGAACTGCTTCCATGAGATAGAACTGAAACAGCTATCTTTTCATAATTAAATCAGTCTTTGAAAAGTCTTTTATTTTTGTGTTTGTTTTGCTCAGTGCACACTAAAACTAATGTAATACGGAAACAAATCTTCCTCTGTTGATGTAGAAAATTAAGTGTTTTGCCCATGTTTCCATGGAGACAATCAGACTGCCACAAATGAACATGAAACGGCTCTTAGTTCTGCAGAATTTAGCTGTTTTGAAATCATCACAAATCATTCGCAGGGGCCCTTTGCTTGTGTGCTGTGATGCCTTCCAAGAGTCCCAGGGTGACTTCTAGACAGTAAGTATTACTATCCCCATTTTAAATGCTGAAAAAGCGAGGGAGGCATAGAGTGACTAACTCATTTATCCCAAGTCAACAAAAAGGCAAGGATAGAACAAGAAGACAATGTGAGGGCATCCTTTCCTTCCTGCCCCATTGACTAGGACAGCTACTGCCCATGCACTAAAATGCTAAGAATGCTAAGAACAGGTGTAAAGTTGGTAATTCTTTTATGACATACTTTTCAAAGAATGCTATCCATATTGTGCCTTATTAATTAAGCATAAAATGAGCTCCTATATTTTATACTTGATAGCTGATAATGTTTGGAACCAAATTCTGTTTCATTTATCCTAGCAAATAAGCAAAGGAACTTAATGGAAAAGTAGAGGTTTTTTCATTTCCAGGGCTGAATGTCTTATCTAGTTTAACATTTAAATACGAGTATGTAGAGATATGTGGAGTGCCTGGCTGGGAATTGCTCTACGTGTAACAACATTGACATTCAGTCTGTCGACAAACAGAGCAAACTCGTCAGCCTTTCAGAGAACTCATATCCAGAATTTTTATTGCTTGCCTAGCCCTCTACAATGCTGTGTTAGGAAATTATGCATAGTGAAATACTGATTCGTAAAAACAGTCATTTGGTCCTTATTTTTTACTATTTCCTGATGGACTCAGTAATAACCATGATTCACTTTTGCTTCTGCATTACCTCTAAAAAGTAAGTATTAAAAGATATGTTTGTTATTCATGTTTTCAAATGAGATTTAATGACATAAAATATCTATTGAGGAATAATAAAATTTGATTGGTAAGAGCTTTTTCTCTATGAAAAATATAGAGGAGTTCTATATTGTTTCAATTTTATTTTTTTCTAGTCATAGTTCACAGTATTACACTCCATTATCGTTTTTAATCAAAGTTGGAAAAGGGGTTTTTTTCCCATTGTATTATTGCTACAGTTAAAGTACAAATTCCAACAGCTTCAGAAGTTTACAGAAGTGTTTCATGACATATGATGCAGCTTCTCTCCAAGCAAATCAAAATATATGTTTATATTCATCTGAAATGGGAAAAGTGTATCTTTAATTACACATGAATAATTTAAAATACTATTTTCTGAAGAAGGTATAACCTGTTTTGTTTTCATCGGCCTTGGAGTAAAATAATTTGTATTAAATGAAATCCCACTAAATAAATGATAATTCACTCCAGTGTAACAGAAAGTAGAAATGGTCTAGGTCAGTTCACTGGAAAAATTGTATCTACCATTTCAAAATTACCATAGGATTGTCAAGTCCAGGCATTCAGAAATCTCAAAGTTATCTTAAATTTACTTTTTTTGGTTTTTTTTAATAATGATTTGGAGTCTTTTGTATAGCTTTGGGGTTTTTTAAATCATTGTAGTTTATATTTTCAGTATTTACCCAGCAGCAATGAGAATAAAATCTTCCTGGCTTTTGGAGAGCAAAACAAAGTTCTGTTCTGGTACTAGGAACTGGAGATTGAAGGGAATCAGCCAGTACCACAGGACCCAGGTTCAATCACAGATACGGAAAATGCAGCCTCAGCTTCTTACAAAACTAAAATCTGACTTGCAGTCATTTCACAAGATGTTATCAGCTAGCCACTCCTCCCAGTGTGGAGATCCAAGTGCTTTCTCTCTCTTTTCCTCACGCTCTTTTGCTAGAAAATGGAGCTTGCAAGTCTGAGGGAGCGTATTTCATACCGTGTTCCAGAGGAGGTATGGCTGGGCTTGGAGGCACCCAAGGGGCAAGGGGGTGTCAGGAGGGGCTCTCCTGCAGAAAGGGCCATGCCTGCTTTGGCAGAGCAGTGAAAAGCTGGTAGAATGGAGATCATTTGGAGTGAGTAGCAGGATACCTGGGGTTAGAGATGCTTAACTGTGTCGTTATAGGGTACCTTTGAAAAGCAAGGAGAGAGCTGAGGCTGACCGAAGGAAACAGTCATGTTTTTCAGTCTGCTCCTGTGCCGAGGATCTGTTAAGACAGATACTGCAGAGCTGTGTCCTCCCTGCAAGGCAGAAGCAGAAGTTTCTTCATTTTCTCATGTTCCACCAACTAAAGATCAGAGCAATCTTTTGAAGCTCTCCACTTCCATCCTGGGAAGCTTGAAGCTGGATCACCCCAGGGGTTTTGGGGACTCTAAAACAGAAACTGTAGAGCTGCTGTCATTAAACATATGCCAAAGCCCTGTGAGTCCCAGAGAATGGGGGTTATTTTTGTACCCTCCCTACCTCCTGGAATTAATAATTGAATGGAACATCTGACCGATGTCCTTCTGTCTGTGGGTTTTTTAGGTTTGTTTTGCCTTCAGCTTACTGGGATATGCAGAAACACATCCTCGGGTATGACACATACAAACACAAATGATCACATAGTGGAAGTGCTTGGCATTTAGAAAGGCATTATGGCACTGGTGCCAGATCATGCTTTATTGAACCAATGTGAGTGCTCTGTACTTGCATGTTGGTTGAACCTTTGCCTTGCAGCCAGGAGAGTTGTTTGTGAAAAGTGCACCTGGAGCTAGCTGAAAAACAAAGCAAGCACCTGGCTGTATTTGACAGCTTCTTTTTTTCCAGCAGATGTTTGGGTTTTTTCAGATTCAAAAGAAAGTGTTAGCAAGATAAATGTATTAGCTAAACATACCTAAGTATATGAAATATTTAAAACCTGCCCCAGTGAAGGGAAGTATTTGAGATACATTTGCAGTATATTGAGATATAAATCATAACGATTCATTGTCAGAAATCAAACCAGGAGCTTCTCTTTTATGACTCTTCAGCAAATCAACTTTGGTCTTGTATATGTCTCTTCACTAGTTGCTAGCCAAATACCTACATTGACGGTTGTGACCAATTATCACATCCATCTATGGAAGCGCATATCCTAACTTACAGTCCTATCTTTCTTTTTATTTTCTTCACTTCTTTCACTGCATCAGATTTCTGTATATTTGTCAAGGAAATTAATTTAAATACTTGGGTTCTTATCCTTTGCTTCGGAAAGGAAATCTGTGGAGTCCTTTGAAGCATCTTTTGCCTTGGATGGCCCTCAGCGATGTCAAAAGCAATTATATGTCAGTTCTAAGAAATTATTTTTGAAAGTGCCTGTAAAAATTAAAATAGATGTTTCTGTGCACTATACCAATGTCTTCAGCCACTCAAATGTTACAGTACTCCAAAACAAAACTATACAAAAATACTACATAGTGATGGAATAAATGCTGACAGTTTGAGATGTTACTGTTTAACTGCCTTGAGAAATTCCATTTACTGAAAATAATTCACATACATGTTTGAAACATTCAAGCCTACGGTAAGTAATTTTCAGCTGAATTGATTTCTGTATGCAAATTGCTGTGAATAATTATGCAGAGAGGGAGCATGCGAGAGAGACTTAAATATCTGAGCTGGTTAATCGAAGACATGTTCTTCCCTGGACTTGGGGGAGAGCTAACACCAATTTTCTCCCTAATGAAGCAGAATCTTTATGCCAAGATTTGCAGAAGCAGAATAAAAACCATTGGAAATTATTTGCAATTGATATGAGGGGGGAGTGTCATCTGTTATTAAATAACATTTTTTAAACCCAAAATTATTAACAATATCAGCTCTGAGAGGAAATGTTACACTCAGCTCCAATAAAGAACATATCTTAGCCACTCAATGTGGCCACTTACCAACCTGTAAAATAAGAAAATCTGGCGAAATGGTATAAGCAGAAACCTTCTGAATGGCTATAAAAATCTGGAAGACCATCACAGGCTTACTTGGGGGCCTTGTTCATACAAGGGCGATGGTGTAGTCCCATTGCACTTGGATTAAGCTCCACTGACAGTCTAACCTCAGCATATGGCTCGATTGGAGTTTACCACTGATGCACTGAAAATTATTATGTTTTCACAGAGAAGCACAGCAATGTTCACCTGAGTGCTCTTTAAGTTAACATGTATGGCCATGTTGACCTTAAGAAAAAAAAGCATAAATTCATCATCTACTTTAAAGCTGAGTAGAAGCTCTAATTCTGGGGGGGAAGTCTGTGATTTACTTTGAACACCTGAAATGTTAAAATCAAAACTGATTTTAGCCATCATGTGTTAGCCAACATGTGTTGAAAATGTCCTTTTCCTAGCAAAAAATCAAGGGCAAAGTCACTACTTAGCTGCTTTGATCACACTTTCTCTTTGGCTGTCACCATGCTGTAAGCGGAGACAAGATGCTGATTTGAAACATTACCTCTTAGATCTGAAGTTTGACCTGAGCTGCCGTTTGGGCTTCATGCTGAGTGGGGAGGAAGCCAGGTGTGGAGTCAGCCTTCCGCCCCTGCCTGCCCAGGCCAGCTTGTGATCCCAGCTTTCTCATTCCCATGCCCTAGCTGCTGGCTTCTACAGCCAGGAACTGTGCTTTCCTTCTTGTGCTTGCTTGTGGAGTGTTGCTGGAATCAAGTAATACATAATAATATTGAAATACACACCTATAATGTAATGCATCATTTAATTGAGAGGTTTTGTTTTATTATCAATCTCTTCTGTCTTAAAATATGCACTAGGATCTCTGCATCGAAGACAGCAGGTCCCATTTTCCAGTTCATCGTACCTTTCTCAACAGATGTTCTTCTTTTATCATATAGTCAGAAGAGTTCCAAGGGGAGGGGAGTGCATAAAAGCAACTGCTCTTGACATTTCATTATGCAGAAGTATTTTTGTCATTGAGTGATCATAGTACTTATTGCCAGGCAATTTTGAAAACAAAAAAAACCAATATTTACATAATGCCATTCCTTTTTGATTGTGTAGTTTGTTTCAGCTCCACTAAACAGCTATGAGTTTGAAATTACTCTCTTCCCCCAAACGAATGGTCATAAAACCAGAATCAAGCTCATAAATCTTACTGTGAACTAGTTGTACAGTTTCTGCAGGATTACACATCCATTGCTGCAAGACATTGAAAGTATTTATTTGTTATCACCCTTTTAAAGTCAAATGTGTGAAAAATAAATTTACTCTGTTGTGATTAACAGAATGACCCACAGCTGCAGCATATAGAGCTACAGTCCTACAGAGCAACTTCTCCCTGTACTGCCATTGTCTGAACTAAGGAGTTTCCTGCAAGTCATAAGTCTTCTTTTGTAGTGCTAATATACAAAAACATGAAATGTAATAGAAAAGTATCTCAAACACTGTTGCTAGGTCTTTGTCCAACACTGATTTATATTGCAAACTCACAGCCTCTAGTGAATGGTACAGGGAGGGGAGAGGAAAGTGGGTACAGTTCATAAGCCAGCGTTCTCTGGTCTGCTTTGTGGAGCTGGGAGGGAAAGGGATTTGGGATGCAATTGGTGTTTGTGTTCCTTTTGGTGTTGGCAAGAGATGTCAACATACCATTAGGAGGTTGTTAATGATCTGATGCAATCCCTGGTGTTTATTGTTTACCAATTATTCTGGTATCTCTGTGAGATAACCACAGAAGATTTATGATTTTCGGGGGGGGAACTTAGATTACTATGTATAATAAATGCTTGGCGAAGAAAAAAAGAATGCAAGTCTTTTGTCTTTTAATGACAGGAATTTTGTTTCTGGACTTCTATTTTCTATAAATGAGCCTAGCCTAGATTTTGGGTCACTGCTTATATATGAAAGGCTTTCCCCTCTGCAGTGCAATCAGCTGACCTATAGAATACAATTTTCCTACAAAAATGTTGTAGCCAATGAAGCAGAAACTTTAGCCCATCTAAACACTTCTTCACTTGTGCTCCACCAGACAGGAAGAGACTTCACAGCTCAGAGTACCAGGACAGCTGGCCAGAAAACAAATGTCAGTGTCCGAAACATCTAGGTGTTAAGTGCGGAAGAGTAAGACTTTTGAGCCATAAATTCTAAATTTTCCCAGGATAAAAAACTTCTGAAAATGATTATACTGAGAGATGTGCAGTACTGTATTTCCCTGTATTTCAACCAGCTGTCTCCTGGGATGAATACTTCTCTTAGAGACCAAGTGTGCAGGGATTTGAACAACATGGGAAAAGCTCAGGACAGGAAACTATGAAGCCTGGACTCACAAAAAGATAGGCAGGGTGACTGAAGTGGATTTTCATCAAAGAATTTGCGTTCATGTGAAACCTTTCATTCCAACAGTGGCTAGACACATATCCCCTCCAAAAATTTTGGACCAATCCTCAGCCACTATCAGGTCACTAACCACATCAATTTCACCTTCAGTCTCAGTCTAAAGAAAAAGTGGAAAAATGTTCACATATTTAAACCAGGCTCAAGGTATTTTTGTTATTACTGTGCAGACAGACCTGAGTAACTATGTGCAGACTCTTTGACATAGAAAAGGGATGACTCTAGTTTTCCTTTCAAGCTTCAACTTCTTTTCTCACTCCTCTTCCTACTTTATTTATTTGTACTTTTGGCTCTTCATTTTCAAAGATTTCATACTCATTGCTTTAGGACAAAAAGAACTGTGATGACAAATATAGTTGTTACATTTCATCTTATTCCCAAGGGTCTTTTCTTCTGCAGATGATGAGCATCTGCTCCTAGTCGTGTAGAAATCTGATTAACAAAGCATGATCTTTGATTAGCATATTTCAGAAATTGTTTCTTATTATGAGCTCTCCTTAGGGCTTGTGTTGCTTAGCGTAGAACAACCTTCCAAACTTATTTAACATGTCGAGGAACTTTGCAGACAGATAAATCCCTATTTTGACCTTTTTTGTTCATACAGATCATGCATTCTGCATAAGTGGAAAAAAATCTCCAGAAACATCGTGAGGTTTTTTGCTGTCTTCTGACAAAGCCCACAGTTTTGCTTGTATTTAATAACTTCCTTCTATTCTTTTGAACTGTATGTAAGGGCTGTTTGTAATGAATAATAAATAATGCTTCTATAGAGTGTTCCATTTAAGGATCTTCATGAGCTTTTCCACTGTGAATGAAATAATTCATCCAACACACAGGTGGAGAAAAGCTTTATTTATTATTATTGCCAGCATTATTATTTTTTTCAGATTGTAGAAGCAAGGCACTGAGGTAGAGAGAAGTTGAGGCCTGATTTAAAAGGAAATAGTGACCGCGATTTACAACCACATCTTTTCCCATTCCTTTGCTTCAAACTCATGACCATTCAACAATGTTTTTCTGTTTTGGTAGACAGTTTTTTAATTGTAAAATATTTGAAAGTTGTGTTTCTTTTAATAATAATGCATTGTGTGGTGCTGTTTCAGAACATACATACTTCAGAAGTGCATGCATTTTGATTGCCTTAGAAGACCTAGGGAGTTCCTGAAGTGCATATAATTCTTCAGAGTAGATTTTACTATGAAAAAATGCAAAGTATTGAAACTGTGTACAATGTCACATAGACCATGTGGGCCTAAATCTTGCTTCTCTTATTCATGCCAAACTAGCATTGACTTTCAAGGCTAAACCCACATCCCCACTTACGCAGGTTCTGGCTGATAGAAAACCATGAGCATAAGGCCAGAGAGTGCTCTCCAGCAGCCCAGCAATGTTGGCAGTTATTAGCCCTGGGCTCGTAGCCAATTTGCACAATGGTTTCTGTTGATGCAGCGTTTTACATCAAGGATGTGTCACCAGCAAAAGCAGACAACTTACATGTGCTCCAGTAAAAGAGCAAGGCCAGCTGCAAGTGAGCAAAAGTTCTGGTCATTAAATTTTTTTGTGTGGATATGACCTTTAAATTACATCAGCCCACTGAACCTACGATCTGGTGACCCTTCACGCTCCAAGTGGTGCTTACTTATTAAAGGCTTTGCGGAAGGAGGGTATCTGACTGTTTTGCAGTTTAAGAATATCTAGGTAGACAGGTAAGGAAATTGTGGCTTGCCATTTAAATCCCTGTCAAATATCTGCCTCAGTCTTTAGCTCAGTCTCCAGTGAGAGCAAAGTAAGAGGATTAAGAATGTATATCTCACCCGCGGTGTTCTGGGAATGTAAAGAGCAGGGGATGGGCTGCTTCTCATGTGCCTGTTAGTCTCAATTAGAAAAGACACCAAAAGGCAACAGCAAAACACCCCTGAAGAGCCTTTTCAGCCTTTGGTCTTTTCAGTGGCTCAGACCCCAGCCCCTCAGACACTGCCTATATATTTTCCTAACAGCAACTCATTGGATGTTGGTGCCTTCTTGTTTATGGTGCAAGAAACAGATGGGCTTTTCTCTTTCCTTGCTCGCTTCACCTTTTCTATCAGTTTTAATGGCTTTAAAAGAAAAAGCTCTTAACACTTTTGTTTTATTTTTACGATTTCCCCCGTGTCTTGCACCAAAGGCATTCCACTAAATACGTATGCACTAGTGAAGCTCAATTGCCCATCACAAATGTGTAATGGGTGTTAATGTGGTAAGAGCTTGTAGCTATGACTGTTTAAACCAACGCAAACAGCTGCAGCACTTTAGCACTGCAGGGAAACAGAAGAATCCTCTGCTTGTTGGGAGTACATTTGCTGTCATATAAAGAAATTTTGTGCATAGCAGAATGAGACTTCTTGTAGTTCAAATAGTATCCTTTAAAAGTTGCTCTGATCATTCAGTAAAAATGGGAAACTCAGGTATCGTAATGTCCAATAAGAGCTTTATACAGTCCCAAAAATGAAACCAAGAGTTGCCCATTTCCAAGAGTGGCCCGTTGTGTAGGGAGGGAGGGGAGAGGTAAAATCGGATTTGAGGGCACATTGAAGAGGAACAGAAAGTCAAATCCATGGCAAAATAATGTCCAAAAAAAGCTTATCTAAAAATCACTTCTTAAACAAAGGTGAAATTTCTCTGTATGGCTGTGACTTTCCTTCTTCTGAAGTATTCACATGACCATTTTTTGAATATTTGTAATTCATCCTGGCAGATACGTCTTATTGCTGATCTTTAGAAGCATCCTTTTGTAAGAGAATGAATTTAGATTGATAGTCTTTCAAATGGGACTTGATTACAGAAAAGTGTTTATAAGAGATTTTCCCAGGTGGGATTGGTGCTCTAATTGGAGTGATATCCAGCACAGCACTGTATCGCTCCTCTTTTTTTTTATTTCAAAGATTGCCAAATCACCAGTCATTTAAGGAAGCAGTCTATAGAAACTTGGCAGGAGCAGACAGGCTCGCACACTGGCAGGACAGCAAATTCTGTCTGCCTCTTTTGAGCTTCTGTAGGGACCAGGAGGCTGCTCCAGCTCCTGCTCCAGTGCCTAATGCCCCAGCATCTTCTTGCCTCTGTGAAGGAGCAGCCCCTGCCTCCACTGAGTTCAGACCCTCTCACTCACTTTGGGTGCTAAACAGGATGATCCCAAAACGAATCCTAATTTTACCACACCAGGCCTCTGATACATGCTTAATGTCTCCATTTATTTCAGGAGAGGGGAAAAGTATGTGCAGTTCTAGTAAAACCTAGTGTAATATGCCATGTGTTAATTTCTTCATTAGGAGACATTTTTGTGTATAGAGAAAAAAATGAAGGGGCTCTTCAAACTCTCACTGCTTCTTTCTGAGTGTGTTTGTTGCATCTGGGGAAAACAGTTCATCACAAGCTAAATGAGGATCTTTGCAGGAGCCTCCTGTTAGAATATTGGCAGTGTATTGCTGTGCCATTTCAGTCTCTGAGTACCCTTTTCAGATAAGCAAGGCATGGGTGTGGGGGGGTGTGTGTGTGTGTGTGCGTGTGCACACGTGTGTTAACCTTTGTGTCCTGGCTAAATGCCCATTTGGTGCTTACTTTCTGTCTGCAGGCCTTTAAGTCCATTTGCATCGCCATCAGGGTACATTATTCACTCTTTCGAGTCCACTATTGTGCTGCCTTGCAGTACACTGTTACAGAGAGGCAGATTTTAACAACAGGATTGGTAAATGGGTTCAAGAGGAAGATTCATGGGATCTTTCCTAATCAAAACTGTAAAGATGGTACCAGAGAGTAAACCCTAGTACCCTGCACTTTCCGAGGTGGGATTGCATGTCACTTTTGCACTTTTTCCAGACTCCTGACTAGCTGCAGTACCCCAGATCACCCATCACATTAGAGGGAGAGAAACTCTCTTTACTGCTGCTATGTTCTTTTCTCCAGCAACTAAAGAATTGTTGAGAAAAAGAATGACCGCTGTATTATTCATCCTGGGGCTGGCTGAAGTCCTGCAGATACATTTCTGGGCTATGCATCCCTGTCTGTCCCCAGGTCCTGTTCGGCTCCTATTAGGCTACTGGAGAAAAGCACAAAGCAGCAGTGATCACTCCTCGGGGAACCACGGCCTCAGACCAAAGCAGGGGTGCTACCACCGAGAGAGAGAACATTGGATAGTATTGGGAAGAGCATAGAGTGCAAGGACTGACTTTAAAGGAAGAACTTTCCCTGGGGAGCATCAGCCGGGACAACAGTTTGGGCATATTTACTGTGAGATAGCAACTCATCATGCTCTCTAATCCTACTTCTGACAGCACTGCTGGTGATAAAGGTTGTTGTATAAAAACCCAGGATTATTTTATTGTTATTACTGCTCTTCTACTCAAACATTTTAAGTACAGGAGATGCTTATCTGTAAAAATTAAAAATAATTTCTATAAAATAATATGCCTGTTATACAGTATCTGTGAAATTTAATTTATTAGCACTCTACAATATGTCAGTTATTAGTTGGCTTCTAAAATACTAGTCATTTTGTCACTTGTGAGTATATTTTATACCATCATAACTTTTCTGTGAAATAAAATCATGATATAGATTATTTTACCAGAACTTCATCCCAAAGTATCATGTCTAATATTAATGTGAATGCTAAGTTAGACTCAGACCACTCGTCAATAATCAGAGTCTTTAAGCTCTCTGTCTATCTTTCTACTTAAACATCTCTATTTAACATGCAGTCTGAAAACAACAGCACATTCTATAAAATGGCAAAGTATTTATTCACTCAGATGTGGGAGTGTTCATTCTAACCAGTTATCATCTGTTGACCAAGAGATAACTTTATATGCATTTCTCACTGTCCTTTTTAATATGTCTGATTTTTTATAGCCCTTGATCCATCCAAAGATCCATGTTTGAAGGTGAAGTGCAGCCCACATAAAGTGTGTGTCACTCATGACTATGAAACTGCTATTTGTGTAAGCCGCAAGCAGCTGGTACACAGGTAAGGAAACTTTATGTTGTTTCAGGTTTTCATATCTTCATAGACTTCCAGTATGATGAGAAGAAGTAAAATGAGAAAACTCCAAAATGAACATTAAAACCCATATTTTTAAAACATTCCTTTAAAGTTTGCTTTTTTCCCAAAACCAAACAGAAATCTTTCCTGGTTTTGACTAAAACAGGACCAATTTTCCTGTCAGTAGATTTTCCTTCAGTTAAGTTTCTTCAAAGCAACTGCACTTTCTGAAGTTGGCTACATGTTTTTCAGACAGTGTCTGCTTTCCGAATTGATAACGCTTGATGTTTATAGTTGTTACTAAAGTAATGGTAGGACTGGTATGCAGAAGGACCCATATTTATACTTATTTCTGTGGGAACCAAGGTCACTGCTAGCTCTCTTATGGGCCACAAGTGAAAAGGCGTAAAAGGGTCACACACCTGTGGGAAGGGACAGACGGGACAGGTGACCAAAAATTGACCAACAACGTGTTCCATCCCATCCATGTCATACTCAGTATAAAGCTAAGGGATCACGGGGGTCGGCCCTTCTTCTTTCATGGCCAGCATCACTGTAGGACTCTGCTCATTCTCCTGCCTCTGGTCTCAATCCATGTATTCCTGAATCTGGTTCCTGTCTGCTGCTGAATCCAGTCTGGGACATCCTGGGGCCCGCCCTGCCACATCAGTGGTGCAAGCCATTTGAGTGATAAATCTGGGGACTGGTCTCCAATTTTCCTATTTAGTAGGGAAATGTGCCTGTAATAACTGAGATTCCTAAATGTCATTGTCAGCTGAGATTGTAGTTCCACAGTTGTTTAAGCCAAACTAAATTCAGGATGATCTGATTCCCATGTACTAGTACTACATCTCATCTTATCTCACTGCTACCTGGCTGAGGAAGCTAATCCAGTAAAAAAAAATTGTCTTTGATTTATAATACAAAGTTAATGGTGTAATGTGCAGGAGACAGTATGTTTAATCTTTGGTTTTCAATATGGAATGAACCCTGGAAGGATGTTAGGAGTATGACTATGTGCAGTGCTTACATTCTAATGACATTTTCGGCATTATGTAGCTTACATTTTCCAGTTAGGATGGATTTAAAGCCTTGCATTATAGAGTAGTCCTTATGATATATAGACATAGATGTTGAGCCAAATGCTTTCTGAGCTATTTCCAGTATTTAATGCCCCAAAAGTGCTCAAAATGGTACAGAATAATGGTACAGAGGAGGAGCTCAATACGCTTTTTTTCCAGAAACCAGGCTGTGTTTCATGTGATCTTTCTATGATTCTTACACTGCCTGCAGCTATTTCAGCTAACCTTTGAGTAGCACTGTGACTATGGAGATTAATAGAAAAGTATTGAAAACTTCCTTTAAAAATTCTCCAAACAATTTCCAGCAAGTTTTGTAATGCTGAAAGAACTACTGCTGATGTGTGATAGTGGTACTTACATGTCCCCAGAGTGGTTTTTTTTTTCTCAAAATATCCGGCTACCCTTGCCTCAGAGGGTAGACATGTCAATGAGGAAAGTAACTAGGCCAAATTCTCTGCTGATTTGAATCAGTGGAGTGACACCACTAAAGATTTTCATCTTTAGTCTCACGGCATTCTGTTCTCTTTTCTGTGCCTGACCTGAATACTGCTGTACATCTGACTCCAGTCATATTTAAGGCTGTGTTAATCAGGAGTAAATGCATTACAAGAGGTAGAAATGCACTTATTGAAAACCAGTGAAAGCCTGAATATATTAGTGTGGGCGCATGTGTAGTAAGAACCATCAAATAAAACAGCACCACTGCGATTGCTTTGCACATCCACAGTGCTTTTGGGTGAGCTCAGAAGGATTTTCCATTTCATGCATCATTATCAACTTGCTGGAGTGGCTTTACAAAGCATGTAGGCTCAGCAAAAAGTAATCAGGAGAGCAACATCTTGCGTTATTGCTGAGGCTTCCAGACAGAGCTACACCGATTTGCATCACCTGATTAACTGGCCCGCTGAAGAGTTGCAGCACAAGGAAGCTGTATTTTTCCAGGCATAGTGTAGCTAACTTCGAAATCACCAGTGACAGTGCAATGCCACTGCTGTTTCATTTCCTTTGTGCTGGAATGCACACTTTTTAAACCACTGCAGGAATACAATAACAGTGTATAAAATTGAGTTAAATAGAAACTTGTTATTTTACATTTATTCAGACCCTGTGATGGCTAACTCATCCTGTAAGGCTTTCAGTCTCATGCCTTTAGAGTAAGAGTCTCACATCTGGCAGCACAGCTGTCCCGTATTTCACAGTGCTGTGGCTTTGATCCTGCCCACGGTGGACCTGCTCGATGTGGGATCCCCTGACCCAGCTGGCAGGGCACATGGGGTGAAGCGGTGGGAGAGCAGCTCACGGTGCCCATAGGTTCAGTTATGGGTTACCCCAGGGGTGCCAGAGGTGCTTGCTAGAAGTCCCATGCCCCAGGGGCAGCCTGGCCCCTCCTGTGCAGCCTCCTCCCTCCCTCTTCCTCCTCCCCTCCACAGTCACCTCGTGAGCAGCCCTGGGTCTTGAAGGTAAGGGAGAAGATGTCTGAGAGGTGTTTCAGACAGATAACAGTGTTTTGTCAGCATATCCTCTAAGGCGTTTACAGTACAAATTGGACAGGACATTAAGAGAAAAGGCAAGACTGAGCAGTGATTGAAGAGTGTGTAAAAGATAAATTTGAAGGTACCTTCTTATATGCTTAATAGTCCTTGGACTAATGATAGAGCCTTATGAAATCTTTTGTGTGGATTAAAACTCCTTTCAATTTGGACATGATCTATGAGAAAGAGTCTTTATTAGTTCAGTTTTGCATGAAATGCGGTAGTTAGTATCTCTCAAAGATTTCTCATCCATTTGCAGTCCTGTAAAAATTCATGCCATTTGTCTCTGCTGGCATTGCTGGTGCAGCTGATGGGAAGGAAAGATGTCACTCTTGGGCTTTTTTGGAAAGAACAGAATGAGAAAAGAGGATTGATGAAAAAATAATGGGCATATTAACATGTCCAAGGTTTACGGCTTCTATCAGTCCATTTAACTGGTGATCACCAATTAGTTCATCACTGCAGTGTATGTCACTCACAAAGATAATCATGCAACGTCTCTGCTTCTCTGCTGTGACTTAGAAATCCAGCTATTTACTCAGTATTTCTTTGGTACTTTTGAGACTACTGCTGCTGACAAAAGAAGCCACTACTGAGTTCCTCACAAATACTTTTTTTAAGGTTTGGATAAGTTCCCAGATAAAACAACTGTTCTTCTAAATTACACATCAAAAGCTTGGTGTGACCAATGTGGTGGTGTTGGCAACTACACTTACCCAAAACGAGCAGACAAATCTCCTTCTCTTTCTTTACAAAACCTGCAGTTGATACATCATTTCTGGTTAGGAAGGACCCTGTTGAAAACAAATCCAGTAAAACATCCCCAGATGTGAAACTGAGCATTTTAGTACCACTGCTATTCGGTGTGCTGTTTGTGCACTTTAAGTTGTATCCAAAAGGGAATTCACAAATGAAGAAAATTAATAATTGCAAGAACATCAGTGACTGACTTGCTTTTAAGAACTGCTTGGGAGCACTACAGAAAAAGCTTTGACCACAGCAAATGCACTTTTAGGGATTTACTGAAAAGTTGTGCATGGAAGCAAGGATTTGAAACAGTCTGTGTTTTCTCTCGCTTGCTTTGCTGCTAAGTGCTAATGAGGGTTGGCACACCACCAAGGACTCCTTTGGGGGTAATATCTTCCTTTGCTGAAAACCTGACTCCCACATTCCCAGTGGCCTGACCAATGTGAGGGAGGGCTTGTTCCTAAGCTCGTGATGTTTAATTCTGCATGATTTATGTGGTAATGTTTATCAAAGCCTGAATACGTGAGCAATCTATATTAGGTGTTGTAACAGAACCAAAGCTGGGAGATGATTAATTATCTTTGGATCTGCCCATAACATCAGTTTGTTCCCCAATTAGCCTTGCTGTGTTCATAGGTTTTTTCTATTCTCCTGTTCATTTTCATGCTGATTCAGAAAATAATTGTTGTTCATTTGTGTATTAAGTACAATTCAGGGAAAAAAAGCATATACCAAAGGGAACTTTACAAAATAACATTGCTTAGCTTCTTGTTGGTATATTTATCAGTGTTAATTGAATGTGTTTTACTTGTATGTATTTTCTTGAAAGGCCTACCACAAGCAGCAAGATGGGAGAACCCAGACAATAATAGGGCAAGACCACTGTGTAGTTTATTCATTTTTTTCTCTTTCTCCATGGAGACTATCCAACTAGTTTTTCAAGTGAGCTTTTATTACCTCAGAATGTTTCCAAAGCAAAGTGTCAGTATTTCTAACTTCTCTGCAAATCCCTACTTTTCCTTCAGTTTGTACTAAAAAGAAGGAAGGGACGTGACTCCCTAACAGAGTGAAATCTCCCGCATTTCATTAAAGTCTTGATGATTTTTTGTAAGCTGGCAGATGCAAGACAGGCAAAATTATGCAGAAAATTTGGAAAATCTGCTGTAAAAGTACTGTTTTTCCAATGATTATTTAATCTTAGCTGTGGAAAAATGCAGTTAATTTCTACGGTGCTGCAGTGGAAGACAGTTCGTTCATCCATCTTGGGTAGGCAGCATGCCAAAAAATGTGTTCTGGGACACTGAGGCCTTCCTAGAGTAAGAGGCCTCTGTAACTTTAATGGTGAGATGTGGGACTCCACTCCATAATTTAGGATAATACAACTCTATAATAAAATTGTTATGAAGATTGAATTCTTAATTTATGCACTGGATGCAGAAAACATAAATATCAAAATTCTTTTTCACATCCCCAGACTTTTTTGTAAGTTCTGGGATGAATTTACAGTTATGAGCTAATTTTTACTGCAGATTTGTTCATGGGCACCAAATGAATTCTTTTGTTGATTAACATTTTCAGAATTAAGGGAAGAAAACTGCCCAGTTCAGAGCAAAAATAAAATCTT